GGAAGGAACAGAAATATATTTCTTCACTTATCAAAATGGCTTTAATAAACAAAGTCTCCCAGGCTGAAGTTGATGCTCTTGCGTTGGAAAATGCTCATATAGCATAATTAGAAAAGTGCCACTCTGAGCTGTTTGTGTGCTGGCATGTCAGACAACACAGTTACTCACTGCAGGATGAAGAAATATGTTGAGCGCAGCCACTTTATTTCCCAGAGGCTGATTCCTTCCATGAGCTCCATCATAACATTGCATGCCAGACTGCCATGCCCTGGATGACTTTGTAAAATCACCTGACAAAGAGCGCTGCCTCACGGGATGACACGGCCCTCTGGGATGTCACTCCCACTGCCTCAGATTAACACTGTGTCAAATGCTTTTGTTTGTGAGGCCTTTTTTTATTCTATCAGGGTGCACACAACCACACACTCGTTCAAGCACACTGTGAACTTCAAAAAAAGAATAATAATACTGACAGGCGAGGGTCCCATCAGATTTCAGCCGGGGCCAGTACCCCCCTGGATCAAACCCTGGATCCGCCCCTGTTCTGATAGTAGATAGATTCAGTGTTTAAATGATGTCACATCGTTCCTCTTGAATCAGGAAGATGAAGCTGTACCATGATGTTGTTAGAGCTCTTGAGGCACCAGACATATCAGCGTCCTAATTTGAGGCACGATAACGTCATCACATTAAAACATAAAAACATTTCTCATAAATATCAAGTCTGTATCCAGGGGACCGAAGCCATGTGGTGTTCACAGGTGTGAGTAAAAGCACTGCAAATATAATTAACCCAACATATCATTACGATTTGATAGCAGAGAAATTCCACAAATTCCAAAGTAAGAAAGTAAAATAAAACCTGCCCATCTCAAAATGTTACGGAAAGAGGAAAAGACAACATGGATCAGTCCCATTGACCAGACTCGGACTAAAATTGAATGTGTTGTTTCTTGGCCCATATCTCGTCCTTTCACCAAGTTTTGTTGAAATCCCTTCAGTAGTTTCTGCGTAATTTTCAAACTAACTCAACTAATGGATAGGGGTGAAAACATGAGCCATAATTGGCAGAGGTAATACGTGTATGCAGCATTTTGAATTATGTGTTATCAAGTGTCTGTGGTGACATTTTCTGAGTCACACAGCGTTGGTCAATGAGCTTAGCCATCTATATTGTTAACAACATTTTCAGCTTTTTCTGACTGTTTGAAATATTACAGGGGGTTTCACAGGAGAAGCCACAGTGAGCTGATAGATGAAGAGCCACAGGCAACAGGATGCACACTTCCAACTTGTCAGCGAGTTAATAAACTCTTTTCACTGTGTCCCGCTGTTTGCAGACTCGTTGTGTGGTGCATAATCACATCACGTTTGCTGAATGATGGAAAAAGGCCAATTATTGCTTGACTTCTTTATTTTTTTGCTGCCCACAGAATTTTCCACCCTGCAGAGGCGTGACCGTGGTTGTATAAGTACATTGAAAGAAGACAAGGGGTGAGTGGGAACGAGCGGGTAAAAAAATTATCCTTAACGCGGATTAGGAAGAAACTTACTGTAGAGTGAGTTTTTCTTCAACCACTGAGTTGGCGTATGGATGTGAATATGGAAAAGTGAGTCATGTATCAAGTTTGGTTCCGACCCAGTGGCTCAGAGGTTTGTCGTCTTTATGGAGATTTTACCTCTGAAGGCAACAGTCAATTTTCTTGGGCTTCCAGTGTCGACAGTGGATATCTGGGACATGACTCTGTTTCGCATTTGCCAGAAACCATTTATAGTCCGACTGGTTTGCTTTGTGTATGAGTTTTTGTTCCAGATGAAACTTTGGCTATCAATTTATGAATGTAGATTAATTAAAAAGCGAATAGCTGATGCATTTTGGTAAATATATTCTACCTCCTTCGCTCTCCACAAGGACTGTTTACCTTTGCTTCTGTTCAGATATGACTGGTCGAAAGAGAAACAGAAACAAGGAGGCTACCGGCACCAAAATCTTGCCCTTGCCTAGAGATTCTGTAAATTCACACAGAAAAATCAGTTCTGATTAAGTGGAAGACCACTTAGCACATTCCACATCAATAGTATTTTTATTACAAAATGCTTGCCTCATAAGTGAATATAAAAAATAAAGAGCATAACTCCTGAAATCTAATCTCCCACACTGCCGTGAGTTGCACTCCCATCAGGCATCATCTTCTGGATTTACTGCAGCGCCTTAATGAAGATGCGACTGCATGAAGCTGAGGTCCTCGCCATCTTAATCATAATAGAGGTGATACTTTTGCCACAAACTGTCACATGATGGGCAAAGCATGTCTGTATTCCCTATACGTTTGAACAGACGTCATTATCCAGGAGATTTATCTGCCGCACTTGAAATTGAAGACATGCAAGCCACTGCAAGAACTCCTGCAGGATTTCTGATAGTTTTGGGGCCTGACCACAGCGGTGCCAACTGATGAGAGCTTAAGACGCCACATCTTTCTCATCAGAACTAGAAGATGACGACGATGTGTCTGTAAGTGATTTGCATCGTGCACAGCCATTATATTCCCTGCTTAGTGTGATTGTTCTCGATTTCTTTGAGTTTGATTAAACACATTGTTCGGTGCACAGTAATATACATGAGAAAAAAGCAGGATTTAATAGTAGTTATTATTAAAAATCCTCAGAATTAATCAGGCTCAATCACGATTTTTAAATTAAATATTTGATCATACATGAAAATTAAGCTGGTTTTCATTGGATTGTATTGAGTCTTTTTCTTAATAAAACATAGACCTCTGAATATATGTAGTCCTTTTTATATAATAGCTATAATTTTGTTCAATGCATCAAGGCACGTTCTTTTTCTGGATTATTCACTTAATGCTCTTTATACAAATTTGATCCGACGCATCATTAAAGTGTCATCTTTGGTTTTGACATTGTGTCAGCTCACAGGTTTATGTTTTTTTTCACATTTTATCTGGTATTAAGTGTGATGTGTGTCAGTGTGGGAGACGGCATTACGCTGAAGCCCCCATATCTCTCAAAGAATTATGATGGCAGCAGTTAGTGTTATTTATTTTAACCATGTATCCGGGGATGCAGACACTATTTATGAACACGAAGTTCGGGCCAGAAAATGAAGAATCTAATTGGGTTCTCAGATAAGAATCGAACAGTCTTAACCACCTCTATCTTTGGTACAAAACAATTTAGGACACATTAGTCGGGTTTTGACACATCCTGAAAGGAAGCTTAAATATAATGTGGACCCAGATATGAAGTAGATTGGATTGTGATCCCTTGCCATCTGCCCTGTGCTGTTTTGAATGTGATGAAGGTTCCAGAGGAACAAAAACTCTCAGGCTTCACGCTTCAGCTCCTCTAGAGATGTCAGGCTCATGTCAGAGTAAGAAGCTATGTGAACAGAATGCAGCCGAGGACATATAGTACTGAATTGCATCCCTCAGGATGTGTAACATGCTCAACACAGACGTTTTCCTGCAGTGAATCATGGGTCTTCAACATTGCGACTGTTTTAAGATAATGCTGTGTAGGTCAGGGGCAGAGTAATACTAAGAAAATATAGTTTTTATTGTGAGGGAAACATGGATAGTTACCAATGAACAAATAAAAAAGTAACTTCTAATATGGAATTGCTAAGGAACAGAAAATGACTGGGTGGAGAAATATTTTTTTCTTTTAGCTTAAGGCTAAAGGTGGATAGAGGTCATTAACTTATTAACATTTATGGCAATTGCAGATTGCATCACATCACAAAAAAATTGGCTCCATGGACATTTATTTTGGCCGTATGTTACAAATTTTTTTCATAGTCAGTTGCACAGTTTAAAAAAATGTCATACATAAATTTAAACCCTTCTCAAACCCAATTATTGTCATACAGTGTAGTAGAACTAGAGAAATCCAGAGTCACAAATAACTATGACCAAGGTGATGGTGTGATGGTGTGTGTGTGTGTGTGTGTGTGTTTATTATATTCACTTCCTTGTCCCTTTTCTCATCCGTTCGTCATAATAAATTACTGAACTGTACCGTCCTTTAGAATATGAGCTGGTGCACCATACCATAACCTGATGTGACATGCAGCAACACAATGCACCTGTTTTTCATGAATAAGAAATACTTAGAGAGAAGCATGGATTATTTTCAAGAAAAAGCTGCTTTGGTTCAAATCTGACTCACAGTGACACATTGATTATTCAATGCAATGAAAAAGAAAAACAACAGACTGAATCACTTGAAAGACTTGAAGCTCTTAACAGAAAACAGACAGAAAGGTTAATATTGGTTTGCTTGAATTTCTGTCCCCTTTCAGCTTCTCCTGAAATTCTACTTAATTTACTTAATTATAACCAATGGAACTTCATTTTATTACTTATTTAAAAACTTTTTTAATTATTTGTATTGTGTAAACATCTGCAATATCATAACCCTGAGGAACAGCGGGAATAGGAAACAAGACAAAATACGGCTCTGACTCACACATTCCTGAACACAGTGATGTGCGACTACGGGAAGATTCGTTTTCTATGGCTGAGGCAAATCCTTTATTAAAGGGAAGGTGACAGTGTTTATATTTCGTTTTAATGCAGATGTGTGGAAATCTGAGATATCCAGACACAATAGAGGCTCCTGGGAGTCTTCTTCACATAACAGAAGCTGCCTCCATTGTCTCTAAGGTCAATATTTAAATTTACACAGCATTAGGTGACAGTGGGACGGATCACATTCTCATACAGCGTTCCAGTCCCATGTGGTGACTATACAGATACGGAGAGCTGAAACAGAGCTGAAGACCCAATAAACAGAAAACATTTTAAATGTGATGAATAGAGGAAGCATTTCAAAAATACATACAATAAATTGAAAATGCTAAATCCTGTATTTTCCTGTGTCAGTATGCAGACTCAAAGTAGTTTTAAAGAAAACACTAAATGTTGATTAACAGAAAGGAAAAGATATTAGTACTACAGCTAAAAGTATAGTTATAAGAAGACAAGTCTCATGGATGCATTTGTTCCACCAGTTGTGGGTCATTCTCAGCCATCAATCATAATGTTTCACCCCAATTTTATTGCAGCAAATAACTAATTAAAACCAAACCTAGTATGAAAAGTGAGCATGTGAACACCAATGTGAGGACAAATTACATTCATGCTAACATGACAGAAACCATTACAAACAAAAAGAAATGAAGGTGTATTTTGACTTTTTAGTTTGCCCCATGTCCCTAATGTCCTATACAATAACATGGAGGAGGCAGGGTTTATGGTCTATACTACAACCAGCCACCAGGGGGGTGATTCAGATGACTTGATTTCACTTTTTGGTGAGCTGTCATGTCGTCCATCTTTCTTGACAATATTTGATCTGTAATCAAACACATACATTTTGCAACGACGCCACAAAAGTGACATGATTTGAATTGCATAAAATATTGTGACTAGTTGTGAATAAATATTTATATGAATGGATTTGTAAGGCTGATCTGCTTATGTTCTGTTTAATGCCAAGATGATTTAGTTTCCTGCCACACTGTAGGGAGTGTTCTGATCAGGCTGAACAACATGGAAAATATTGTTTGTAATGATTGATACACACCAGGATGCTCTTTGTCTTCCTTTTAATCATCCTCCCGTTCTCTCGCTGCAGTTCTACCAATGACTCATCTGCACGAGAGGAAAGACATCTTTGGCCATCCACTCTGATTTATAATTCAACAATTTAGCAACTGGTGTTTGCACCTCAGTTGCCACTGCAGCCAACTGGTAATTAAAACGTTGCATTTTGAACAGCAGCACTTTCCAAAGCCGTTTTCAGACATGACCTGCAGGTAAAATACGGAGAATTGGCTGTGGAGTTTACCCACCCTTTCACAATGAATTCACAACAGCAAATTTGTTTTTTTGCATCTGTTGTGTGTTAGAAGCATCTTAAAAGCCCCCCCCCCCCCTCACTTGCTCGTGGTGGGTCACAGCAGAGAATCCCCTGCTGTGACTTTTCCTGGATTTCTACAGACATTATACCAGGAGGCCAGATGGAGTAACACCCCAGACACAGCGGAGCATCTCATTCAGTCATTTGCGTTCACATATGCACCTCCTCCAGAAAAACTGCAGGGTTCAGTGCATGTCTGAAAGCAGCTCAAGTTATTTCAGTCACAAAGGGACTTAAAGCGCATCTGTTGTGACATATCATGTTTGGATTATTTTCTTATAGATCCTCATAAGGTATCAATGTGTCTCATGTTCTTCAGATATGAATCACTATGAATAATGTATTCAACTTTTATTTTAGGGTCAGATTTATGTTTTAATTTCCTCTTCTCTCTTTTTCTCCAAGATAAAAGCACAAAGATAATCCCACAAAACGTTTTTTATGGTGTGTATATATAGATGTGGTTCCACTGATAATCATAATAGGCCTATAGTTCTTTTCACTGTCACTACAATAGTACTTTGTTATGTAATAATGTCCTCCTGGATGTAAAAGTAGGTTATGCCCTTACCTAACCTACGACCTGTCACATTTTAATGGTTATTTGCAATAAATCCTTCATTAATCTGTGTATTTTTTCCCCCCAGAATTGAATTAAATCTGTAATCTGACTCTATCAATAATTAGAAAACATTAAAAACAGACGCACCATTTAAAAAAGTATTTGTCTCTTAGTTTTAATGCAGTAAATTAATTTTAAAGCTTAAGCATGCAAATCTAAAATTATTATAATCTAATATTTTATTAATGCAAATTGACTGTGGCACTCATTTCCAAAGGGATTAATGTCCATGATATCATGGTCCACAACTGGGCTCTGTGAATGCGCCATATGCCGTATACAAAGTACTGAATGTGCGACTTACAGAGAGATTAGTGTGAAAGAAAAACTGCTCTGTACCTGACAAACAGCTGACGGACGCAGTTATCCACTTCACTGGCTCTTGAACCATTTACCAGCTGAAGATCCAGATATTTTTCTTCTTGGTGGAGAAGAAAACAGGGACTAATTATTGCTCCTAAGTACATTTATCAGATGAACAAAAAACTTGACTGTAAATTAATCTTAATTAACTGTGTCTGCTGCGTCAATAAAAAACTCACTAACCGAATTCTAGCTTTACAACCTGCAATCAATCATCTCTTTTACACCAGACATGCACAGCCCATAACCAGTAATTATATTATTGTGTGTACCGTCCACACTCATGCTAGCTAGCTCACTTTTATCCATAGTTAAGTACCTTTGCATTCACCTGCAATATCCTGTCTACAAGTATTTGATGCTACACTGCTCCAGGCCGCAGTTTAGGTGAGGCTGAGCACTTAAGTGTTTTCCATTTCCCCCCTGCACCATCTCCACTTGGCTTTGACATCCACAAAAGTCTTCTCTTTTCCCAAGACATCAATTGTGTGTCAGGCTCATACTTAAAACTGTCCATCTTTCAGCTGAGCCCCGGTCCATTAACACTCAGCTTCCGTCCCTCTAATCTATCTCAGCACCTGTTTCAGATGCCACTTCTCCTTGAGTGAAGCTTGGAGACAACATTCAAAAGGGTCAGTAATCGGCCCTCCCTTTGCCAGAAGTCTGATAGCGCACAAATACACTCTGAAAGACCGGCGTTTTTGTGACTAACAATGACGTCTGCAGCTTAATGCTAAGAGGGAAAAGTGAAATCCCCCCTGGGATCTGAGGAGGGTGGCTAAAAGAGAGATGCTCACTTTGCACCCATGGCTCCACTTCAGCCAGTTTGAATTCATTTAGGTCTCTTTCTAAAGCACACACAAAGGTCATGCTCCAAAAAAGGAAAAGTTTTAATTGGATATTTATCATGTAGACTTTCAAATTCCTTTCTACCCTCAGTCTACTGATAGACTCGTGTCCCTGACAGTAAAATATTTGTCTTTGAGCTAATCTGCTTCGTTGAATACCTAATTAATGTTATTCATGCCCTTACACTGTCACCTCCTCCTGTTTGTCAAAGGCTCTTTCAGCATTACTGTTTTACAAATCCACTTCCTCTAATATCCAGGATTAATCCCAGACATGTAGCCGTGACGACAGATGCTGACATTAATCTGAATAATACAGCAGGTCTCATGAAAATCCGTCCCCCCTGCAAATTGAAGATGCATGCACATTTACAATCTTTATAATATCAGGAATTATAATTCTGTCATGCTGGAAATTAGTTTCCCCCTTCCTACCCATTGCCTTCTAAACCAAGGTTTGTGTCTTTGTTACAGTGTTTACATTTCATACAGTTAGTATTTGGTTTCACAATGTCATTTAGTGTCATTTAGTATTCTGTCATCATCATCTACACCGGCTGCATGTACCTATACTTCACATTGATTGGTTTGTAGATGGACGTCTCTCTGGCTTTGGCGTGCTGTCAATTTGGCTTTTGTATTTGCTAACTTTTTAAAATAAAGTGTACATTAAAAGAAGTTGTTGTTGAAGTCCTTATTGTTTGAATGGAGAAAAAAGATGAACTGGCTCAATATGTTAATTCCGTTGCCACTGTAATATCATTATGGTGTTGCAAAACTAATGTGCACTTGGTTCAAACATATATAAGATTACAAGCAGTCCTCCAACAAAAAGGTGTGTGTGAAAGACCCCTCGAAGACCTGGCTCTAGCATCACATTGGTCATGAGTAAAGTTTTATGCAAAGCTGTTTTTAAGTATCAAGGTCTGCACCTTTCCCCTTGGAGGACATGGTTTATTGGTCAGTATAAAACCAATAACAGTATAATGGAAATCTCATTCAAAATTATTTGTACTTCCTTATCTTTAATTCAATACTCTAGACTGCCTAGTCCCTCTTATAAATCAGTGCTGTTAGATTTCTGAACGACAAAATTCATCCACAACATTTTACTTCCATTTCTATTTCCCTTTCCAGTTCTACAGTTTTGGTGGTGGCTTGCTGTACAATGTGCCATTTGTATAAATAATGTATTCTAATCATCCAGTTAGTTGAACCCTAGCTGCCAACAGATATCTTCTTGACTCAGTGTGCACTCCATTGTGTCAAATGTATTTTGGGGCCACAGCCAGCTCTTCTGTACCAGTGCTCTTTACACTCTTTCCCTTTGATGAGCAGCAGCAGCCGAGGCATTTACAGGAAGAAAGTGAATGAAAAATTAAAACGCTGTCAACGCAAAAGTACAATTTACACAGAGTGGGATTTTGTGATCAGTCTCTTAACTTTCTAGTTGCAGGTTTTTGCAGCTCGTTATGTTTTTTAATTGGCTAGACTGAGCTCAATAAAAGGCAGAAAGCACAGACTCAAGACCAGGATGGATCTTAAGGCTTTTATTTCAAAAAGCATCAGGAGTTAAAACTGGCTGGCTGGAGATCAGAGCACTCTAGAAAACAAGGCGAGTTGATTTGTAGGAGAGCAGGTCAGAAATGCTGTTTCCCAGATTGTTTCTCCAAATGAGGCAGACTGACTAAGACCAGAATGGATGTGGCCGATTCCTGTCTGAGCTTGGCACAAGTTCCTAAAGAACAAGTGTTAGACAAAGGCAAAGAGACAAAAGGGGACCTATTAGACTAACAATGTTGGATATTCATACTGTACGTGGCCAAAGTTTCAGATATTGAGGTGAACATATGGCTGAATGATCAGTAAAATCAAAACCTTGATGTGTGCGATGTGCTGGGTTTCAGGCAGTTTTTTAACTGAGCTGAACTGATGATGTAGATACGCTACAGAGTTCTTAACATGGTCATGTGCTCCAGACACATCATGCTGAAGAGGTACAGTAACCTGCCCACACCCACGCTCAAACCTGTACAACGACTCGCCCTCTTCCTCGATGAATGTTTGTGTTAAACCCAGAAGAAGACGTCTTTTTCCAAGTTCATTGACTATGAACTGAAAATCTCTTCAGGGGCTGGATGTGAGAACGCAAATGTCCATGTCAGTTGCCCCCAGACATTTTCCTGCCCATCTAACAATGTGAGAATACAGCTGTGATACTGGAAGAATACTCAAAGAAGATGCCATCAATAGGGACCAGTACCCATCAATGCCCTGCCTCCTGCAGGCTCTACCAACCCCTCGCCTGAATGTTCTGGACATTTTCCTGTTGTTTCCAACACGTCTGACTCAGACACTCTCCTGCTGCGTTCTTCACATATGAAAGACAAACCCCACAAAACACCTGAACCAGATTTTAGGGTAATTTTCTGGTGTTGATTGTCTGGAAACAGCTTCACTGTCAGAACATCTTATGAAAGATTGACAGTAATGTTGCCACAGTGATTACTGAATGATGATGATGACTCTTCAGCTTGTGATTGTTGATTTGTTGGATGATGATGGCTGGGCAGAAGATCTGGCAGGAGCAGCTCATCAGGAAGTTACGCCCATGTGTCACACCAACCAGGACTAATCAAGAATGAGGGGAAGGCAAACACAGTAAAATAAGAAAAGCAGGGGAAAAAGCTACATTTCTAAAAACTTCACTTGATGCCATAGAACGAGCAGGTAACAGCTTTCTGTTTGAGTTGTTTCTAATATGGACAAGTTGTCTGTAACGGAATAGTTGTCCCAGTTCTGTGCACATCTGTCTCCTTCACTTTGCTCTTCAGTGACTTCCCAGCAGGAGACAAGTGGCAGCAAGGGAGAGGAAAGATAAACTGATTCTCAGACAGCAGCTACGTGGTCAACAATGCTTCGAGTGATCAGAAGGAAAACGGTTCCCCAACACAAGTGGAATATATTCTCTCCTTATTAAATAAAAAGATTAAAATTAGATGACATTCCTTGGAGCAACTGTACATCCTTCTGGGCGTTATCCAAACAGATCACGTAAACTTGACTGGAAAATTGGCTTAGTGGAATCCATGTAAAAGCTGTAATCACACCATAGCGCAAATCTAATTATTCTCAGTATCGTGCATTGTGCATGTAAATGAGCTTCAGATTTAACGTCTTGATTCTCTGGACTTAATTCTGTTTTACCTTAGCTGAGAGATTTGACATGCAGCGCTCCGACGTCTCTGATGAATAAGAGTGCTTTGTTGGCCGGTTCTCCCCTCGACAACAGACATGCTGCTGGATTTGCATAAACTATTTACACTAATCATTCAGCCTGGCAATCATCCGTATTGTTCACACACATATCTGCAGCACTGAACCTGTTGTGCAGGACACAAATCCTTCCCTGCCGCTTCCTTCTCTAACCAGCGCTCGACTCTGATGTAATGATTACCTCCATCACCTGCACGACGGGGTGAGCGTGCACCCCGCCATATGTTACCAGGATGTTTCCTGCTGAAGTAAATTCCACTGTCTTCTATGACATTCAGCTCAATGCACAAACCATAATTACCACATTAGCTGTTTCGTCATACGTGTTAGAACAATTTGCATTGAAATGATGCACTTACCAGCATTGCCCTTGAACCCCCTCCTCCCCATGACCATATTTTGTATGCAGAGTTGCGCTTTATTTTGGAAATTCATTAAGAGCGTATATGCTTAATCTACAATTCTGGTATACAACAGTCACAAGAGAGTTGCTAATCTGCTTTTATGCCTCGAAGAGACAACATGTCAATCTAATTCTTTTTTCTTTTTCTGAATTCAATTACATGGAGGGGAGTCATGTGGGCTCAGTCTGCAGCGCACACAGGAGGTGACTCCATGCCACTAATTCACTGCAGTCCTTTTAAACCTTTAAAGTTTTTGGGTATTTTCTGCACATTATAAACTAAAGCCCGAAACTAAAGAACTTTTCAGTGCACTGACGGCTTCTGTGATGTGCTTTGAACATGCACACATTTTCAGAATAAAATTTGTTCTATAGGGCTGGTTAGAGGGTGCAATTACATCCCCTGCTCAATTTCTTTGATCTGAATATGGAATGTAAATTAAAACCTATTTCAAGCATTTCAAACTTCAAACTAAAACCACAAAGCCACAACTATAGCTCTCCTGGAGTTTTTGTAACCTTTCATACATTCTCACTTTTAATACTAGACAACGTTTCAGGACATCCTGACAAAGTTCTGTGGTCAACAGTAGATTTCGATTGCCATCGATCTCCCTTGCTAACCAATAGGGGGAACAAATTTCAGAAAAGATGAGCACTCAGAAGCTGGAGCAAACTTGACTTGTAAATCTGCCCTCAGACAAACTTTCGGGCCTTTTTTCTCTGATGCTTTGTGGCAGCACAATAGATCCAGAGAGGTCTACTGACACAGAGGTCAGCGTTTTCATCTGTGAAATTGTTCTTTTGTTTTCAAGGTGTTTAAAATCCAATTTCCAAGCCTTTGCAGGTTTACAAGTCACACAGAGGCCAGCAGGCATTCACCAGCAGCTGCATATTAAAAGGACAGTTTTGACATAAACAAAGGGCACCGTGACACTTGTTTTAAAGGTTATGCAGATGAGAAATAAATATTCTTAAAATAGATGTCTGACTGTGGGAATTGCTTCAATTCTGTATTTGCCTGATTATTTTTTTGTCTTTATTTCTTATTTTCACTGCCAAAGACCAGATAAAGACATGAGATGATTAGCATAATCAAATTCTCTCTAATAATTAACTTACTGGTCCGATAAGGAGCGCTACTACTGTGTGAGGACCTGTGATGAGATTATTGAAGGATAGTTCAACAAATCCAAAGAGAAAGTGAAAATGGAATCAAACCCACGAGGACAGAGCTTTCAAACTGTGCCTTTAACTTCTCCATCAGCTCCTAATTAATATGCTAACAAGCTTTGATAAGACCATCTAATCACTTAATAGTTGAGTGGAATTCAGGACAATTAAGGTCATTTAAGCTCCGTTGATAAACTGCACCACAGGGGGGGATGGTGAGATAATAAGAAATCACCAGGGTGCACTTTCTAATAATAGTAAATAATCAATATGCTCATCTCATGTATGTGCTGATGTCGCAGCCTATTCACTGATGTGATTCTTTTCTGTGATTTGAATGTTACCATGTATACAATGTATCTTACCATCATTGTTTCCACTTCACATATCATGAACATAGAAATGTGCAACACTTAGTGAGTTCAGCTTTACATCATAAAGTAAATGACACTATGAACATGAATGCACCTGAACACACAGCAAATGAAACATCAGTAAAGCAGTTACATCTCTTTAACCAATCAAGAATGAGCTCGTTGTTTTCATCCATTATCATTTTGAAAGTCTGAACTTTAATGTACTTACATCTTGAAATAGTATAAGTACATTGTGCAGTTAACATTGTCCGTATTACTGACAAAAGATAGAGTAGGTTGTCCACTGGTTGGAAGGTCGCTGGTTCGATTCCAAGCTCCTCCAGTCCACATATCAAAGTGTCCCAGGGCACTGACCCCTAAATTGCACCAGATGGCTGAAGAGGGAGCGTGTGAACAGGATGAATGAGTGATAAAGTCCTAGATATAGAGCCACTGCATGAATGTGATCCACAATATCAAGTAGTTTGAGACGGTAGCTTTGACCCAAAGATCCACACCAATGCTTTCTAAATTGATTTTGTATTAATTATTGCTTCTGCAGCTTGGAAGCATTGGTCGGGTAATAGCCAGATTAAAAATTGAATGATATGCATTTTTAGAGCTATGTTATTTTGGCAAGAATTCAAAGGAATGAAATTACAACAAATTATCCCCAGAATGAAAATAGCATCAGAGCGGAGGGAGACATGTCTTATGTCATAATATTTGGCAACAGTAAAATGACTGTAAAAATAATACAATAAATAAACGTACACACGAGCTGAATTTGGATGCGCAGTGGCATTTAGAGACTTAAATTTTGGGATTAGGGAGGACAAGCTCTTCAGGCTGGTTACAACATATCCTTTTACAAATTTGTTATCACAGTTGATGACAAATTAATGCAAGGATTTATGCTAATGCTGCAATCCTATGTGTAATTAGAAGCTGCTCTTCAAACTGTCTCCAGCCAGATGAAGAACGAAGCTGAGTACACTGAGACGGGAGGAGGAACCACTTGCTGCTGCACAGGCTCAGTCTGGATACTGATTGCTGTCTGGTGAAATTCTGTTTTAGTGATATTTTTAACATCTCAAGGAGAGACACACGTACGTCCTGTCGTCGTCACCAGGCTGTCTCTGCCGATGCTTTGTTGGTCTGCAGTGTGCATCTGATGTCAGTTGAGTTATTTTATTCACTAACTTTTTTTAATACAGTGCATAGAAATGTATTTGTATTTTTAGTTGAAGAAAATTAACTGGCTCATTTAGACAATTGTTGCCACGGCAATAATATGTTCCTACTACCAGCAAAATGATCTTTGTCAATCAAACTTTAAATAACAGGTGAAGGCTGAAGGCAATCATGCAAAGCACTTCAAATTGTTATTCTTTGTTCATGATGTCTCAACTTGCTGCAATTGGTCCAAAATCCTATATACACAAAAAGAAAAAACTCAAAAGTCTGCAAGTCCAGACAAGGAAGGATGAATGTGCCCTCAGACAATAACAATGAATAGGAAGCTGAATGGAGGCCAATGTAAAACATGGGTATTTTTTCAAGTTTATATATATATATAATAGTCTTATAATTGAAAGGATATTTTAGTCCTTTTTTTAAATTTTTTTTTTTTTACTTGTTTTCATTTATTTCAAATTAAGTCTATTATCCACTTCACTGTTGATTCTATTGGACACTTGGTGTAGTTGGAACAGCGGTGGCTTTATGAATGAAAGCTGAATGCTGCTGCAGCAATTACAATTCCATTGTTATCATGATCCCTGGAGACAATGCATCTTTTATTCGATCCTGGTTTATGGAGCGTTTAATTATCTCTTATTTCAAATGAGATCACCGGGGGCCAATTACCTCTGGCCACCTATATTAAGTTTGCATGTTTCCATTCTGTGATAATCAGGACTCATGTTGAGCGATCAACAGTTAGAAAATGTTGAATCAGCACACTGCCGCATATCATCTACAACATGAGGTGCTGAGACTCAGTGGTCAGGGTCCAACTTTAAGGTGCAGAGCTTTTTGTTTGAGCATCATTATGTGCATGCATGCCTGTGCGAGATTAAATTAGATGTAACCACTGTTCCTGCAGTGGAAAGTTTATATACATGATCAGATGTTAACTTCATGAATAATGTCATCATGTTGAGAATGATAACAGCAGTCAGACAAGCATCTAGCTAAGTGGTATTAGATGATACAATGGATATAGAAGGTTATCATTATGTTGCACATATAGTTTTTATGTGAATGTAAAAGGCCTGCAAAGTTAAAAAAAAAAAAAATCTACACTATGGGAAGCTCCTCTCTCCCATATAACACTGCTCATGAAACACTAGTGTCTGGTCTCGTACGTCCACTAATAAAGCCGGATGAAGTGAAAGTGGAGGCCGACATTTTCTACATGTGCTGGAAGAAGCAGCATTTTGAAATTATCAACAAGACACAAACAGAGGTTTCAAATGCACGACTTGTGACGCAGGAATCAGGTCAGAAATCAGTTTTAATCAGTCCAAGGTTCAGTACACGGTACTTCAATTACACAACCAGAGGTATCCAAGATAACCAGGCAAAAACACAGAGAGGAAGGTAATACACAAAAACTCACATGAGAGAAGAATGCTGGACATCACGAGGGATCAAGACGAACTGGCAGCAGACACTGAGACTAAATACTCTTAGGGGGGAGACACAGGTGAAACACATGAAGGCGAAGCAGGTAATCAAACACGGAGCAGGAAGTGAGGATATAAAACGAGACAGGATGTGATTATACAAAATAAAACAGGAAGACAAATACTGAATAATAAAAACAATAAGAACATGACCTAAATGCCAGGGCTGGATGTGACAGAAACATTCTGAGGAAAAGTTTCAGTGCAGAAAGAAGTCAAGCTCATCTAATTGTCTAAGCTATATGAAAACAGAGCTGAGCAAGCTTTCATTTCCAGCAGGCATTGAGGATTCAGTTAAAGTCTTCCAACTTTTATAAGCTGGCTTTGCGTCTTACTACTTTTCTAGGTTCTGTCTTCCCCTGTGTGTCCTGTTCTTCTTTTGTCTGTTTCTCTGTCCCTCTGACTCTCCTGGTGCTGATTACATTCTGTCAACCTGTAGTATATTTCTGCCTGCTCTTCGCTCGGCCGTTGCTTCACATAATGTAATAAATGCTCCAGGCCTCTGTAGAGAACTAGTGATCTGTTTCCTTGTGGTGTATTCCAAGTTAATTGTTATCTCTCTCCAGGGTCATTACTCATCTGCCTCCTCACCTGCCTGTGTGCTTATCGGTGTTTCACGACTGCCCGCTATACTTCCAACCTGCTGCGCCATTCTGCCTCCTTCATCTGACCTACACTGCCTGTGAAGCCATTCCTCACAACCCCTCCGCCCTCTGCCTCAGCTGGCTCATTCCACCTCTATTCCCCTTTCAATTAATCCTCTTCATTTCTCACCTTCAAAGTCTGCAGTGCACCCATCTCTGTCCACAATGCAAATCATTGCAATCACAGAAAAATCCTAGAAAAAATGATTAAATTCACTGCATGCTGCTAAGAGGCTGTACCGGCTGCTGCTGGCAAGGTTTATGGAATATTTTCCGTGTTGCTCAATGCTTGAGTGAACTTTTATGTCAATATAACATCTTTGGCTATTCCATTTGTTTTTAGACTCAAGTTGTGATTTGATCTTCGAGCAATTTAAATGAATTTAAAGCAGATTATGCAAAGTGTGAATAAATCTATAACCTAACCTGGAGAAAAAGTGGCAGAGCGTTGGTCTGGTGTGCTCTGGCAGGGCTACATCCTTATTTGTAAAGGCTGTGTCTATATTCTATGTAAAAGTGATGCATACCTGCACATTGCAATGATTCACAGAGCCTCCAGTGCAGCTCACTCCATGAGTCAGTCAGCTGATTACCTCTGATTGAGTGATTCAACGCATTTTTATGTCCGTGCTCTTTGGAAGATTGGTAATTCTGGACTCATAATTTTAATTCATCACTATCACTACAACAGCACTCTGGGTGCAAACCTCCAACAAGGCCAAAAAACAATAACTATCATATTAATTTACACCAAGATTATTATTGAAGCATTACCTGCTGTGAAATTGATGAAAATGTAGAAAAAAGTTCAGTCTTGTAATGTTGAGGGAAGTAATAATAAAATTCTGGATCCACTTCCTTTTACAGGATCGCTGCCAAAATGTGATGGGTTCTTCCTTAGCCAATGTCACATCCCAAGAAGACAAATAAATGAAGAGTTGGCAGAGGTAATAAAATTGGCTTTCGTCTACACTATTCATATGAATGAGGGTAGGATAAACAATAGAAACTGTAGTACTCACTGTATAATTTAATACATTTGTACAGCGGTCTGTGAAATACACGCTCCAAAATGATCATACAGTTCATTGGGGAAGGCTTTTATCTGATTCTGCATTAGTTTTATCCAACTGAGGGCATATGATGTAGCTGACAGTGTAAAATGAGACTAATTATCCTGTGCTGTACCACAATAAAACTGCACTGACCCAGACTGTGTCATCATTATAGTGAGATGAAGTATTTAATAGCAAAGATGATCACATTTGTGGAGCTGCTGAGAAAAATGGCTGATCAGGCTGTTAGATGTGTGATAATTATTTTTTAATGACAAAAAGTCATCACACAGCCCATTTTAATTATTAATATTCCAATTTATTCATGGTGAATAATGCAAAACTATTTGACAGTCTATTCTAGTAACTGATCAGATTAAGGTGGACAGAGCGTGTTTGGTTCTGTGTCAAATAGGATTCATATTTGGGGGAGTTTTAGACAGGTTTTGATTTAATATTATGGAGTAATTGGTTGCACAGTGCAATGCTAACAGTCGGTATATAGCTTTGGCCAGGTAGCAGAAATGGGGGAAGGTGGAACAAATACAAACCTCTGCACCACCGTTCATCACACAAACAATAAGAAAGTGATCTACAGGCCTGTTTGAGGATGACTCACTAATGACAAGGGTGTATTTTGAGATATAGGCTGTTTGGAATGAGAATTGCACTTAGTTGTCTAAATTGTGAATGTGAATGGTTGTCTGTCTCTGTGCATTGTCTCAGTGATCAGCTGATGACCTGTTCAGGCTTAAGCCCACCTCTCGCCCAATGTCAGCTGCGATTGGCTCCAGCTCGACCCCCGCATCCCTCAAATGATGAGCAAGGTAGATAGCAACTGGATGACTGATAGGCAATAGCCTGTGGTTTATAATATGAAAGAAAAATACCTTAGTCCCCACATATCAGAAAGAAAACATATTCTCACTTGAGTTTGTTTTCATGGTCACTCAGTGTTGTGCACTGTATGTTGTTGGAGATAGTGTTATGTGGGGATGTATGTTGTATGGGCGTCTTTTCTTTGTTGGTGTCAATAAACTTCCCGTCATCTTTTGTCTTACAGTATAAATTTGCATGTGCTTATCAGTGTTTGTCCTTTTCAAAGTACTTTATGAGTCGTATTACCAAGCCAAAGAAACTGACGTGACATCTCAACAACAGCTAGAGTTTTACATAACAATAATACTTTTCATGACAATAACACTTTTGAACCAACACCATGTGATTATGAAACATGTGATATTTCCATTAATCATGCACGCCACTCGTGTGTTCTGACGCTGTTTCCCCGCAGTTGTAAGTGAAGAACCTCTTGTGCATATATTTAGTGCCATTAAGTCCACACTTACTGACTGTGAAGTGGCTTTCTAGAGCTTTTTTAATGCATTATAAACAATCGCTAAAGGGAAATGGCAAACATAGAGCCGTGTAGTGTGGCGTCACATGGAACAAGTGGCACACTGTTGTTCAGAATGGACAAAAGCCTTTTCAGTGTCACCGACAGTCACTTACTTATTCACTAGCATCATATTTCATTGATCCTGTGGTGAAACACTTGCTCTGGTACCTCATTCTGAATCCCGTTTTAACTTGGCTGCTAAATATCGGCAGGTTATGTGTAAAGAT